AATGTTGCTGAAATTAAATATGTTATTACCTCTGATTTGAGTCAGAGCAGCGATCATGGAAGAGAGAACACAGGCAGACAGCGCTGGAAGCTGCTAATGCTCATCAGTAAATCAGTGGAAAATAAATAGAAATCATGATTCTGTCTGAGCTATGCGTTTTAAATGCGTTTTTAACACGCACTAGTGTAAATGTAGCCTAACAGATGTGTAAACTGAAGACTATTTGAGCTTTATTAAAACTATTTGCACTGATTTATTGTGTTGGTTACATTTTGTTCCTTTGTGCAGTGGCTCTGGAGATGAGTCTTTGAGTATGTATAAACATCAACAAGCTGAAAAATAAAACCAAAGTTTTTTTTTTTAGATAATGTAATCTTGTTAAAATTGATTTCATAAAATTGGTAAAGTTCAGGAACCGTATAAGTCAAGGTATTGGTATCGATATCGAAAATTTTTGAACGATACCCAGCCCTAATAATGCATCTTGCTATATGCAAACTATTGCATCACCTCTAAATAACACAGATTATTTGATACAATGATTACACATACACTATGCTAAACTGCTCAAATGTTTAACACTTGAAATGGCAATTCCGCCTATCAAAGCCTGAGGCCAGACTTCTCACACATTATATGTGGAATAAACATCCCCTCCCCCACATTGAGAAGAAAAATGGCTATTTTTTTCACATGCTACTGAGAAATGTATGCAATCTGATGTGATGAACTCAACTATATATATAGACCCTTATTTTATATATATATATATATATATACACATACACATACATACACACACACACACACACACACACACACACACACACACACACACACACATAAAGGCCCTTTAAAGTCAATAGTTAATCAAAATTGACCTTATTTAGTTTCTTACCGAAAGTTCCTGGTCTTATTGTGAACAATTCATCTGTGCATGTTATTCTAAAGCCCCCCATTTGTGTTGACGATTGCTAAAGATCCATAGCCTCTCTCTACTGTCACCTAAATTCTCGAGTTCTGGCAGGTTAACCCATAATCCTAGTGGGCTGTACACAGGACAGCATGAGGGAAATGTGGTTAGTGTGTGCAGCTCTCCTTGAGTTTCGTCATCTTTCAAGCTGTTGATTCAGACTCTTCCAACATACTGACAGATGGACACGTCAGGAGAAGATTGCCTGTTGATATATTAAGACACAATGGGTGCTGACCCTTCCTTCATATAAACAATAGTCTTACGTAGAACTAGAGGCCAAATACATACTAAAGTGTGTTTTACAGCAAGAACAACAAAAGAAAACATCCAAACTAGAGATGCACAACATCGGATATCAGAGGAATTTATCCATTTAATTTTTATCTGTGATGTCTAGTATTGGATATTAACTTTTGGTCACTTGTTTCCGCCAATTTTTAGATGTTAAATAATGCTTAAATCTTAGAGGGACAAGTGTAGATTACAAAAGATTTAACCCTTCAAGAGCCGTTTCTTGAACATTGCTATCTTATAATAAAGAACTTACTTTTTTATTCAAACAAACTTTTTTCTTTATCAGACCCCCAAATGAATATTTATCCATATTTCATATTGTATATTATATATTGTTGTTGTTTATTCACTCAAGTATCACAACACTGATTTAACATTGACAAGAACAGCACAGATTTTTTTTTTTTTTTTGTGAATGTGGCGAGTTATTTTAAATACATACATTAAATATGTACAAAAAAGTACAGATTTTTGTTGTTTATTAGTTATTAGCCATGGCACGGAAATCAGCCAGAATTGTAATATCAGTGCATCCCCAGTCCGAACGCATTGTTAACTTTAAGGAAAAAAATTGTTTTAAATGAAATTTCAAGGGTATAATAACTGCAACACTGTAAGATGATTTCTAACTGATACTAACTGCATTTCACAGGCATTTGCATGCTAAGCATAGCGTACAACAGAAGAAAAGCCACTTGTATTGTTAGTTTGTGTTAAAACCTCACTAATTTTTTTACTCCAGCCTGTCTTGTTTACATCTTATCAGTCAGTCCTATCTATCAAAAGACTTTGGAGAAAATAAAGATGCTCACCGGCGTTGGAGATGCGTCTCCCTCTCTCCCAGTCCATCTGCTCTCTGTCCAGCTGCTCTTGGTGCTCCCTTTCTTGCTTCTCTCTCTCGGCACGCTCTCTCTCCATCAGCTCCCGCTCGGCACGCTCCCGTTCCTGGCGTTCTCGCTCCAGCTGCTCCTGCTCTTGACGCTCACGCTCCAGGCGCTCCAGACGTTCCTGCTCGTTACGTTCCCTCTCCAGCCGCTCTCGCTCCTGACGCTCCCGTTCCTGACATTCCCTTTCGGCACGTTCCCGTTCCAGCATCTCTCGTTCCTGCTGTTCCCGTTCTAGCCGCTCTCGCTCCAGTCGTTCCCTCTCTTGCTCCTTCTGATGCTGGAGCTCCTGCAGCTGCCTGAGGACACATGAGAGTAGAAGGGAATGCGTGAGTGCACAGTGAACCTTCAACTTTTCAATTACCAGGTAAGACCTTTAACAAGTTTGCCACACCACCCCAGGATCAGATTCTGATTTGGTTTCAGTAGTTTTGGTACAATGTACAATACAATTTAAAAGTCTGGATCAATAATAATAATAATAATTATTATTATTTTAACATTTAACACAACATTTAGCATCAAATCAGCATATTAGACTGATTTCTGAAGGATCATGTGACACTGAAGACTGGAGTAATGGCTGCTGACAATTCAGCTTTGTCACCACAGGAATAAATTACATTTTAAAATATATTAAAAACATTTAGTTTAAATTGTAAGAATTTCACAATAGTACTGTTTTTACTGTATTTTTGATCAAATTAATGCAGTCTTGGTGAGCATAAGAGACTTATTTCAAAAACACTTTAAAAAATCTTACAGTCCCCAAACTTTTCAGTCTCTGCCCATTAAAGTAAACGGGCTGTTGGGGGAATTAACAAGATGGCCTTAAAGGGCCTTTGGGACATATTCAACAACAAAGGCTTTTATAGATGACAAATAAAAATGACTTGAATGACTTGCTTTCTTCCAGATACTGAGACAGATGAACACTGAAATACAAGCAGCACAGTACATCATATCATACACTAGAGGGCAGCACACTCAAATGGGTAACAAGAGGTGTGAGAAGTGCCAACTTCAGCATCCAGACCAGCTTGCCTGCAGATGTTCTGCTAAGTAAGGGTTTATGAAAGATTTGCTTGTCAGTCCTCTTGTGCTTAACCAGCATCCAGCACATCCTCATGCCCAGGATTCCAGTGTGTAGAGAGCCAGAGACATTTAGACTGTGGACAGCGGGGACAGTAAATGAAGAAAAATGGGCTGTTTGCAATTCTGGCGCTGAAGCAGGACAGATGGACCTAACTCGAAGACGAGAGGCTGGACAAAGTGGAGAGCATTCATGAATGAAAGCAAATGTAACGCAAAGTGCCTAACAATTGAAGAGTCATCATGTAAGGTTCATCTTCCAGGCTGTCCTTAACATGTTGTCTTTTTACAACATTTTACTTCAAATAAACGTTTACCAAAAAAGAATTCTCACAATCATGTTGTTTCCGACATACTATAATAACAAATAAAAATTGATAATAAAATAAACAAATACATAGATCAATTTTAATATTAAACTGAGATATAGATTCTATATTAGCCTACATTTTATTTATTGGGTTAGTAAGAAATATTAGTACAAAATACAAAGGGTTCCTAATCAAAATTATTATGGGTTAACTTAATTAACAACAGTATAGGGCCATTTCTAATGGCAAGAGGAAAAGCTGTGGAAACGTGAGTAAATGATGAGACAATTTTCATTTTAGGAGGCAAACTATTCCTTTAGTTTGTGAAATCAGACAGCTGTCATGGGAAACTGGAGAGATGATAAACCACACATCAGTCTTGTCATCAAGGTTTGCATTAGAACAGGTGATCCTGCTCTTTCCATCTGGCTAATAACCTCCCACACGTCTTTTTGCATGAATGGGCATACATGATGTCATTTCCTGGGACATTGCCAGACACACCTTCCACTCAGCATGAGTGTCATCACCATGACAAATACCAGCATAGGTGCAGTGACATCATGCCTCCACATGTTTCCAAAGAAGAGAACAAGATGGGAAAACCACACCTCAATCTGAGACCCCTTTAGAAGATCAAGTTTATGCCTAAGGCTCCAACGGATGCAGTCACACCTGAATCGATAGTCCCTCCTGCTGTCTCATCAGTTCCGTCACTGAAATTGACTTCAAATCTCAGACCAAAGCTACAAAGCATGTGCAACACAGTATCTCAACTACTGGGCCATTCACATTTATAAACCCATCCACAACAAATACAAAATAAGATCAGTATCAAATATTCTACTTTTCAGGTAATATAATTCTGCATTTGAATATGTACATTTGATTAAATGCTGAACAATAATAGCCTCATCAACAAGCCTTGCCTTAAAAACATTACAAACCACTCCTACTCTAGCAACTGTTGTCATCTGCCTTATTATCGGACTCTTTTCTACTGAAGTTTACAGAATGTATCCAAAAATATAGTAAAACACGTTCTAGGCACATAAAACAGTGACACAATGTGCTTTACTCTATTTTCTTTAATTAAATGTTGAGAAGTGCATCCTGTGGGTTAAACAATCTGTCAGTCTTCATTCTCAAATTAATACATGTAACATCAGAAAGAACACAGACTTTTGCTCCAAGGTAAATTCATATAAATGTAACGACTTATGATTTAGGTCATAGTAGCGGTTCTGTTCATTTACACTTATGTTGTCACTTGAAATCTTTTTCAAATGAGGCTCTCTCTTCAGTTGATTCTGATGGTGTGTTCAAGTCATGTCGGGAGTATCGTATTTATGAATCGAAGGCATATGAATGCGACTACATAGTTGTAATTTTGAGTGGGAAACTGAACTTAGTCTAGAGTTTCCGAGTTGGGGGCATGTTAGTAAGAAAATATGGCGGACACAACAGATGCAGCATTTATATTGCTGGCAAATTCATTAAAACATTTTTTTTTTCCATTTAATATGAAACTAAGTAAGGTGTGGCTTAACAAGGGTCGATTCTTGAACATCTGAAACGGATACAACAAATGCAGCTGGGTTGAGTCGAGGGGAATAAAACTATATGAAGATCTTCCAAAAGGAGCTTCCATATGCTTGGTCTACTGCCCGAGTTCTCTATATCTGCTTAATTTAGTTGCCTTGTTTCAGAGTTGTTCTTGTACCTGGGTTCCCAGAGGATGTATTCTGAGCCACTCCATTATGAAATGCTGTTGAGGCATGGATTGCTGAGAGCGTGTCCCACTTCCCCCAAAATCCCTGCTGAGCCTGAGCCAAGCTCTCAGAGATGTAATTAAAGAGCAGAGGAAGCCTTGTTTATATCTGTGATAATATACTACCCCAAAAGACCATAGCAGCCATCCATAAGCCATCCCTGGATAGGGTTTTAGTACAAGCACCCTATAGAGATGAGCGCTTAAAAGAAATAGGGTCAAATGGATGTGTGATATGAGAGGCTTATATTTAATTTCCATGACACATATGGGTTGGGCGAGGTTAACTTTTCATGATGCAACTGCCGTGCAATCCCAGTGATCCTACAGGGGTGGAGAGGTCATAATAATATCAAGGGCTTCTTGTTTTCAGAAGCTGCTGAAAATAAACCTAGAACAAACATCACTTTAAACCAAACTGGCATTTGACCAACAGGAAAAAGGATTTATGGGATCAAATGTGTGCGCTCCTTGTTTCTTAAATAAGAACAACACCCCAGACCTGTTCGCAAGTGCAGTTGCACCTTTTTGGTTGAGAGCTTTATTTGTGCGTAATCCTATCGGACACATACACATTCCCTGGCATAGGAGATCACAACATTCTGAAATAACGAGCAGCACAAACACTTAAAATTAGAAGTGGGCCCTGCTCTCTCAGGCGAGAGACTGGAAGGGGCCAAAATATGGGGTTGATGGGTTCAGCAACCTGGGCTGCTACACTAAGAGCTTACTTTAGTAGGCCTTTTTTCATTTTCATATGTATCGCCTCTTTCTGACCATGTCAGGTAATAAGCAAGCACTCTAGTTCTTCAACATTCCAATGCATTTATGTAATAACCCCTTTCAACAAAACTCATGGTCACTTAAAGGTACGGTTTTGTTCCACTGCAATGACAGTGAAGCATGACAGGAATTGTTCTCATATTTTGGAACACATTTTGGATACTTGTCAAAGGGTCATCCAAAAACAATATCAGTTTGGAATCTGCATTAGCAATTGTACTGCAGTCTAGAGCATTCTGAATATAGGAAAAACTACAAGCAATGCAAAATTTGCTTACTTTTCCCCTCTCAAACACCCCTTCTTGAGCATGGAATAAGGGCTTAAAAGATGGGAAACATGCAGCAGATCCATTTATTGGCGTCTCCGTTCCTGACATCAGTTACCAAGGAAACAGTAGCGAAGGGAGTGTAGGCGGTTCACAGCCTGATTCAGAATGTCTTCCAACAACTTACTACAACAGATTCTAAAAGCAGTATGACTTCATTGGAGTTTTAAAACATTGGTGATCATACAATAAAAAATACAGGAAATTAATATACAAAAAAAATCTTTTTTTTTTCTCAAAACAAAAAAAATTCTTTATTGCATAGAACAATATAATTACATGGGGACTAGCCAAGTCGTCACATTACCCTACTATAAAATACCCTATTAGGAATCCTATTCGTGGAGTATTTTGTCACCTATTTTGAGTATAAAGTAAAAACATGTATATTTATTATACACTTACAATCTACGAAAACACTTTTAATATCTTACGCAGAGTTGTTTTAAGTAAATTCTAAACTTCTTTTTAGGATTTAAAAAAATATTTTACTGGTCAAACAAAGTCAAACAACACTAATTAAAACTCATTTACTTCTAACTCATTAAGAAGTAACGTATGTGAAGTTATGCATAACATTTACAACTTGAAGACACCAAAATGCTGAAGGAAGATTAGTGGTATAGAAGAAAATCATGAGTAGTCAAAAATATCACTACAAAACAGGGCAAATTACTGCAATGCTTGAAAAACAGAAAAAAAAAATTATATGCAGAAAAAAGCCAACACTGACTAAAAAATGACAGACCATCGTGAAAAAGTGAGCAGAATGAGCACCATATTGAAGTCTTTTTGGCACATGCAATTCCCCTCTCTCCTGGAAAGGCCCGGCAATTTTGTTAACATTGGCTGTGTCCAAGCTAAGCCATATGGCGTCTTTTGCAAGGCTTCCTACAAAATTTCAACAGATTTGGGCCCAGCTCACTGATTCCCCCTTACACAGAAGGAAGAACATCTTTGAAAAGAGAAGGCGGAAAGAGCTCAGAAAGCAGGATGTGGGCTTTCTGTAGCTGAAG